CAGACAACCCCGTAACAATATGCGTTTTGTACTGCTGTTACACAGCACAAAACGCATAAAAACCATAAAGGCATTTGTGACTTGAGCAGCAGACTTGGCGTAGCGGCAAGCGATACCTTCCTTTTGCACGTTAGTTTACCTTCTACTCATACAGAAATTTAACGATTTGTCTACACATTTTATATCATTCTCTTCTTATCTTCTAAACTATCTAACATGCCCCCAATTACATAGCGAAATGGGCCTCTGTGCTGATGGTTCCCACCCTATTTCGCACCAATTTAGTCGTCTGTGTTTACAGTTCAGGGATGAAACACAGACATCACCCAATGCAAATACCGGCTAGCTTAAACGAGGCTTCAAAATCTGGCTCCTTTTCAGAACATTAAATGTACATACGATTTTTCTATTCCTCTTTTAGGGCATTCGCTCAACTACGCCACACCTCTAGACACATTGACACGCCCTTGCCATATGCTTCCTTCCAACCCCATTTTACTTTGTTTATTATGTCACTACACTTTGCCAGCAGTAATGCTACTCTTTCCAACACATACTACTCTCGCACTGCATGTCCAGGATTCTACTCCGCCGGTGTGACAACCAATCCTTTGATAATTCAATCATTTATTTCGATGGTAGGACTGGAACAGGTTGTTGCAGCGAATCAAAATCGCCACGGATTTCAATCAATTCCCACCCCACTCCACATCACTTAATGTCTGTGTTTACAGCTTAGGGATGAAACGCTGGCAACCATATCTATATTCCTTCTTAGCACAAATCCTCTTCACATATTTCACACGTACTGCATACACATTTGCTCTTTTACCATCTCTGCTTCTTTCCTTCTGCTCCTTCAACCCTTTTTCTGTTTCATTTGGTTTCAGTTCATTTGATTTGATTTCAATCAAACTTCGCAAAAAACTGTTACCGGCGATACTACCAGCGGACGATTGCTGGCAGCAAGTGCTACCACTCGAGACATTTTCCAGTTGCTTTCCTTTTTTACAGAAAGTGAGTACAGAGGAGGATTGACTTTTTTATACTTGATTAAATCTTACTGGATCACGATTTTTGCCCCGCTTATGAAAAGTTTGCGGAAGAGCAGGATGATAAAAAAGGCGCACCACCGCTTCAAACTGAAAATAATTTGCTTGAGAATCACAAAACTAGCCTGTTCATCATGCGTCCCCATGGCTGCTAAACCAAGGCCAAGACATGCACCATGCCGGGCCGCTGCAGTTGTCGCTTTTTGCAGTTGATCACGTAAATATGCAATCACTTCCGCATTTCCATGATTCGCATGAATCAGCCCTATAGCAGAGAAATAACAGACCAGAAAGATTGTACTCAGGCGTCATGTGTAAGATGATATTTTACGGTGCAAATTGTCTTTCATCCTTTAGATGCAGTAAAGTGACATTTTACGATGCAGTCTCTGTGTTTCATCCCTTAGCTGTAAACACAGATCGGACTGTGCATGCGGGTAGGAGTGGGAATCAACAGTGCAGCCTCCTATCCGCCATGTATTAAAAGGACATGTAACTAATTTGCAAGACGGATATGTGAAAGAAAAAGAGAGAGAGAGAGAAAGTGCAGTAGCGTGAAAGTAATAAGAGTGGTGCAGCAGATGGAAGGGGAGGAAACTAACATATGATACGAGTAAAATCACTTCCGTACAACACCCTACGGTGACTGCAGTAAATGAAACGCTTGATTCGTCTAGCGATAAAAATACCCTTTAAAGGTCCTCTCTCTCAAGAGAACCACTCGACAAGAGTTCAGCCGCTCGAAAACGTCTCTTAGAGTGTGTCGGTGTATGTGTGTATGTCCATGTACGTGTGTATGTGTGTACGTGTGTGCCTGAGTATTTGTGTCTCCATGTACACGTGTATGTGCTTATTTACGTGTATAGACTACGTGTGAATGTATGTATATGTATGTGTGCGCATGTGTGTGTATGCGCATCTGTAGGTGTGTATGTATG